AGGAAGGAGCTGGCCACACCTTCTGCCTGTCCTGGCCCTTCAACAGAGCCGGTTTTATCTTCTGTCTTCCCTCCCAACACCCTGTATGTACCTTTAAGTGGGAAAGGGGCTAAAGATTTGTTCCCCATCACTTCGTTTTTGACTTGCAAACACAAATAAGCCTGCCTTATACTGAATTAGACCCTTGGTCTATCAATGTCAGTATTATGTACTCAGACTTGCATCAGATTACCTACGGCCTCATTCTTTTAACTAATGATGTTGTAAATTCCAGAGTTTTGTGATAGGTGTGCATTATTTTTGAGCCTCTGGTTTCTCAACTCCCCACTCCTCCCCACTCCACCACTCACAGCTGTTGGGAAAGCCATATTTCTATCAGAGGTGTTCTTGAAAAAGAGCAGTTTCTGTCAGATCTCTCTCAGCCCCACCTACCTCACAGGGTGTCTGTTGTGCGAAGGGGAAGGAGTTTGTAAGCCCCTCTGAGACTCTGAGTTAAGGGCGGGGTATAAATCCAATCCAATCCTCCTCCTCCTCCTACACGGAGAGTGCAAAAACCTGGGATGGCCCAAAGAAGAAGAAGAAGAGAAGAGATTGGATTGGATTTATAGTTGTGAGCGAGCGATTTGGCTACTGCATAAATTAGTTTGCTCTGGAGCCCTCCTCCCTGAGCTAAGACGAAAATGTGTGAGCCGGAGGCTAAAAAACTGTGAGCTAGCTCACACTAACTCAGCTTAGAGGGAACACTGGCTGTGGTATGAGGCATGCATAAGTTTTCAGCCTCTGTTTTCTTGAGATGGAGAGTGCAAAAACCTGGGATGGCCCAAAGGCCCCTGCTGGAAGAAGCTGAAGGGACTTAGGCTTCATACAACAGGGCTCTTCTTAATCCACCAGCCCCTCTCCCCAAACTATCAAATCCTGTGGAGAATCTAAGGACAAGGAAGCAGCTCTTGAAGAGAGAGAAGGAGCCATTTCTGGACTCAGCCCAAAAAGGAGGAAGAAGAAGAGTTGATTGAAGAAGAGTTGGTTTTTATAACCCACTCTTCACTACCCGAAGGAGTCTCAGAGTAGCTTACAATCGCCTTCCTCTCCCCACAACAGGCACCCTGGGAGTCAGTTGGGGCTGAGAGAGCTCTGACAGAACTGTGACTGACCCAAGGTCACCCAGTTGGCTTCATGTGAAGGAGGACTGGGGAATCCAACCCTGTTCCGTAGATTAGAGTCTGCCACTCCTAACCACTATTGGCACCAAAGGACCCCAACCTCAGGCCCCAGAAGGCCTCCCTCCCTCCTTACCCCATGGGC